GACAATGCAGCCGATGTGCATCAGGTGACCGAGGCGGCCAAGTCGACCTTGCTTACGATCAACATGCCTACGTTCACTAAGCAGTGTACGGACCTGGAGAAGTCGGTCTCCAAGACGTCCGCCTTCATCCATAAGTACAAGGATATGCCGTTCAATGGCTTTGATTTGTCGCCAGAGCTGGCCTGGTTAGAGCAGGTCGTGGAAGTGGTCCGTGCAGGCAGGATCACGATCGCAGAGTTCACGTTCCTTGATCCCGCAGTCACCCGCGAGAAGGTCTCGAAGGAGTTGAAGCTCTTGAAATCCTGCGGGGCTTCCCCGAGCAAATTGCATCCTGCGCTTCACGCGCGCGCGCAGCAGATTTTGGCCGATCAGAAATAATGTGCCTTGTAGCGGGGGCTCGGTGCAGCTGGCTGGTCAGCCAACCCACTCCACGTGGGATCTGTTTTATTTTTATCTTTGCAGCAGGCTGTCAGCCTCTGGTGACCTTGATTGGAGATGCGCGGGCTGCAGTCATTATGCTTGCCCGGTGCACTGAGTTCGTTCGAGTTGTAGCTCGGTCCTTCGGTCCCTTTATCTTGTTTTTCCAAGCGAGTCGAAGCCTTGGCGGGCTCCTGGGCCCACGACTTGGGGCCTGGGCCCCAGGCCTACTCCACCTGCCCTGCTATTTGAACTTACATCGTCCTTGGGTCGCCCCGCCTGCCCGGCCCTAGCGGCCCTAGCGGCCCTAGCGGCCCTAGGCCCTAGCGGCCGTTGCTAGCTCAGGGGGCCCTGGAGCTCAAGTCCTAAGGTCCTAGGTCCTAGACTTTGCTTGGCCCCCTGTGGCCCTCACGCGGCACAACTGCTCAGACTAGAAGCTAGACTAGACTCTAGACTCTAGACTCTAGACTCTAGACACTAGACTCAGACTAGTGACTAGACACTAGAGAGTAGAGCGACTAGGCTACTCCAGACTCTAGACTCTAGACTCTAGACTCGAGGCTAGGTCCTAGTCTCCTAGTCCTAGGTCCTAGGCTTCAAGCTTATCGAGGATCAGAAATCTTGAGACTCTGGAGTCTGCCATGAACCACAGGCTGGTCCTATCCAGCTTGGCGCGTGCGGCTGACAGCGGCCGCGGAGCCGCTGGAGCACACTCAGACGCCCCACACGCAGCTCACTTGCGTGTATCACGACGAAGTCTTTTCGCGCCATTCCGTCGGCAGCCCTCCATCCTCCCTCATCTCTCCTCCATCCAGTCTCCCCCGCCCTCTCCTCCCCCCATCCGCATTTCTCCCTCCTCCCGCCATCCCCTCCGCATGCTCCCTCCGACCCTCTCCTCCCTCCTCTCGCGGGCCGACCAGGTGCTGATGACGCCATATTTTTCTCCGGCTTGACATGTGATTCCTCGCCCCTGCACCCCCCTCCAGCGCGTTTCGATATCCGATATCCTTCCATTCCTTTTTGGCCTGAGCTTCGCAGTGCAGCCGCACGTGCCAGAGTAGAGAGTAGAGAGAGAGAGAGAGAGAACAAACAAAAAAGAAAGAAAGAGAGAGAGAGAGAGACTGAGGGGGGCCACGACGACGACGATGACGACGACGATTGGGACCTTACAGACTCCAAGAGAGAGAGAGAGAGAGACACACACAAAGAGAAAACGATATAGAGGCGACAGAGAGAAGCACAAGTTCCGGAAATCGAGAGCGAGAGGGATAAATATATGGATAGAATTGGATAGATAGAGTCCTAGAGTCCTAGAGTCCTAGAGTTAGAGTCTAGAGTCTAGAGTCGAGTCTAGAGTCTAGAGTGAGAGCGAGAGGGATAGAGTCTAGAGAGAGAGAGAGCGAGAGAGAGAGAGAGATACAGTAAGTGCAGCGGCAATTCCTGTGCACGGGGCCTTTCGTGCCAAGGTGGAGGTACATGCCACCGTTTACTTTTCTTCCCCGCCGTCGTGGGCTTCCGGGGCGATGGTCTCAGGGAGCTGCGGTGGCGCGTCCTGCTGTGCGCGTGTCTTAACTTAAATTATTATTGAAGACCTAGCGTTTCGAGATGAGAAAAACAAGGAACCAAAGGGCTCGGCAAGGAGCCGAAGGGAGTCGCAAGCGGCTGGGCCCCGGCCCGATCTGAGTAGGACCGGAGGAGGAGGAGCAGGAGGAGGAGGATGGGGAGGGGGAGGCCCGGTGGTGGAGGGGGCCCGGGGGAAGAGGACACATGGTTTAACTTAAGTTGCAGTTGCATGTCACGCGTGACATTGCGACCTACAATTTCAGGTTGTGTTTTGGCCATGGCTTTTCGGGGTCTGGTAACAATGACACCGCAGAAAACCCCGAACAGACGTCCGAGCGAGGCGACCCCCTCTTGAAGCGGGGGCCCTCTGAGGGCCTGTCTTGGGACGCTCCGAGGAGCTCGGAGTTCGGAGGAGCTCGGAAGGGCTCTTGGGGTCCCAATTGCGGGCCCTCTTGGACCCTATGGGGCTCTAATTGGCACAAGGCGACTTTTGAGGGGGATTGCCCAAGAGTGGCCCCGAGAGAGTCCCCCTAAGGCCCAATACGGCTCCAAGAGGGGCCCAAGGGGAACCAAAAACTACGTTGAAGCGAGATGCCGCGGCATCTCGCTTTGTGGCCCACTGGCCGAGAAATGGCGGCAGACCTGGAAGACCCCCTTTCCCTCAAGACACTTCTGGCTCACGGCAGGCCCGCGCCGGTGTCGACCTCGGCGTGCCGCCCAGCCCGAGCTGCGAGGGACCGCTCTCTGACTTCTGCCCGCGGCGGCCCAAACTCCCGACGGGCGCTCCCTGACCCCCCCCCCGCCCGAGCCGCTCCAGGAGGCCCGTCTGGAGTGCCGACTCCGTCGTCGGTCGTCGTCGTCGTCGTCGTCGTCGTCGTCGTCGTCGCTGGCGTCGGCGTCGGCGTCGGCGTCGGCGTCGGCATCGGCGTCGGCGTCGGCGTCGTCGTCGTCGTCGGGGGTGGGGGTCCTGGGCAATTTAGGTAGAAGAACACCTTGTACGATACATCGGGGAACATCCAGCAGAATATTTCATGCGACAGCGAAGTCCGCGAGTTAATATTAATCATTATGCTCAGGGCCTGGCAACCACCAGATAGGCTCGAAAATGAGAACGTGTCACCCCTCGGTCTCCACCTCGGTCTCACACGCCCCTTTCAAGCGGTTACTTCCGAGCGTATCTGGTGGTTGCCAGGCCCTCTGCATAATATTGACTCGCGGACTTCGCTGTCGGATGAAGTATTCTGCTGGATGTTCCCCGATGTATCGTACAAGGTGTTCTTCTACCTCAATTGCCCGCGACCCCCACCCCCGACGACGACGACGACGACGAAGCCGACGCCGACGCCGACGCCGACGCCGACGACGACGACCGACGACAAATTAGGATTGGAAACAGATGGCGCGCGTAAACCACATGTTCGGAGACTGCGTCCCCCTGGCGATGGTAGTTGGGCGGTCTCCTACTCGAACTCCTCCTCCTCCTCCTCCTCCTCCTCCTCCTCCTCCTCCTCCTCCTCTTCCTCCTCCCCTTCCTCCGTCCCCGCGAGCGCTCCTTCTCCGTAGGCACTGCTACTGGAACCCGCCCGAGGATTGCTTACTTTCGAGAGGGGGGCAGGCCGCGGGGGCGAAACGCTGGGGCGCTCGAGCGAGAAGATTTTATCCTACTCGCATCCTCCTCCTCTTCCAACCTCTCACGCCCTCTCCGCCCATCTCCCTTAAGGCCCCCAGAGGTCCTCCTCCTTCTCCTCCCCCTCCTCTTCCTCCTCCTCCTCCTGTCCCTCCTTCCCCTCTCGAAGACGACGAAGGCGAGGGCGGCGAGGATTAATGATTATGAGGCGGAAGTCAACGGCACATGGAGGAGGAGGAGGAGGAGGAGGAAGAGGAATGGGAGGAGGAGGATTGAATTGTTGACAACATGCGGCATGGATTTGGGTCGATCAATTCCAAGGGCGCATGGGCGCGACGATAGGTGATTTATAATCAAAAAGGGCATCCTGAAACGCGCGCCTCTGAAATCGATAGGTTCAAAAGACAGCGTGCGTAGTTCGATAGGCGCTCGCGACCGCTGGCGTGCATCCAAACATTGCCCCCTGGCGAAATCAACAGAATGTCTGCTAAATATATTCACATGGTATGTTGGCATCCATTAGGAAATCGTAGTCTCAGGTGTACGTGTAGGGATGCATGTATGCATACATGCATGACTATACGCATGTAGGTATGCAGGCATTGTATGTGTGTACGAATGCATGTATGTATTCATGTATGTATGCATGTATGTGTATGTGCGCATGTATACATACCTGAAGATGTGTAGGTGTATGTATGTTAACACGCATATGCATATATATGTAAATGTAGATGCATATACCTATATCTGTATGAAAAGTTTTATATGCACATGTATATGTATATGTATGCCCATGCATGCATGTATGTCAGTGTATATGTATATGTATGTATGAATGTATACAAGCATGCATGTATACATGCATATGTGCATGCACGTATAGAGGTATGTATGCTTGTGGGTGCATGTATGTATGTGTGCATGTATGTATGCATGTATGCACGTATGCATGCATGTATGTATGTATGTATGTATGTATGTATGTATGTATGTGTGTGTATGTATGTGAGTACGTCTGTATGCGTATGTTTGTATGTATGGATGCATGTACGTCTGTATGTACGCGTATGTCTATCTGTCTGTCTGTAGGGATGTATGTATGCATGCATGCCTGCCTGCCTGCATGTGAGTATGTAGACATGCAGATTGCACACATATTGCACGACATAAATTGCACGACAAATACTGCACAACAAATCTACCATCACACAGATTGAATCACATGGACTCCCGGAAACAAACTGTTCGGGGTCCACGCTGGCAACCATTAAGGCAATGCGGGGAGGAGTCCGGGGAAATCACAACAGGCCCGGACCTCCACCACTCCTCCCTCCACCGGCCGCCCGCCCTCCTCTCCCGCGGGAGCGCGGCCGAGCCCCGTCGCCGAGGCCTCGTACAGGTCCTCGGTGGACACGGCGCCGCTCGCCCAGTCCTCGAGCACCACGGGCACTGCAGTGCCGATGTTGAGGCTTTGATCCTCCGCGCCGCGTCTGAGGCTTCGCTCCCTGTGCACGGCAGAAAGAGAGAAGGCTGGCGATAAAGATGTCGGTGATAACGGCGATGATGGCGAATATGAGGAGAATACGATGATGATAGTGGTGTGGTGATGGTGATGGATTTTGCGCCAATTCGAAAGGATGCCCCTGGCTGCCATGCACCATGTGTCCCCCTCTTCCGCCCAAAGCCAGGCAAAATAACCCACGCCAAACCACCCAACCCGTACGGAAGAAACGCAACCTCCACGAACGCCCCACCATCCCCCCCCCTATACAATTACTAGAACCACGCGCGCGCTTCGCGCGCGCTTAGGTTCTAGCTAGGCACATCGTCAACGTCATCATCGTCGTCACCGTAGACTTCGTTGTCATCATCCTCATCATCAGCAGCACCAGCATCATCGTCATCAGCACCATCATCACCATCATCATCATCATCATCAGCATCATCATCATCATCATCATTTTCAGCATTGTTATTATTATTAGTATTATTATTAATATTATTAGTATTATTATTATATTATTATTGTTAATATTACTATTATTATCGTTGGCATCGTCATCTTCATCATCATCATCGTCGTCATCATTATGATCATCATAGTCACCAAAATCAGATTAGTCGCCGTCGTCGTCGTCATCATCATCATCATCAACATCATCATCATCGTCGTCACCATCAAATTAGCCTGGCGAAGGACCCAACCATGTGCAGCTGCGAGTACCGCGCGGATATGAGACGAAGGAGGGGGCACGCAAACTAGGCCCCTCTTCTCATAGGCACCGCGCCACTGGGGCCTTCGGTGGAGCTCCCTATGGGGCCACGAAGCGTGTGAGGGGTGTGCCGAAATGAGTGGTGGGGAGGCATGCGGGCCCTGCCACTGGGGCCTTCGGTGGAGCTCCCTATGGGGCCACGAAACGTGTGAGGGGTGTGCCGAAATGGGTGGTGGGGAGGCATGCGAACGCAGCCACTGGGGCCTTCGGTGGAGCTCCCTATGGGGCCACGAAACGTGTGAGGGGTGTGCCGAAATGGGTGGTGGGGAGCCACTGGGGCCTTCGGTGGAGCTCCCTATGGGGCCACGAAACGTGTGAGGGGTGTGCCGAAATGGGTGGTGGGGAGGCATGCGAACGCAGCCACTGGGGCCTTCGGTGGAGCTCCCTATGGGGCCACGAAACGTGTGAGGGGTGTGCCGAAATGGGTGGTGGGGAGGCATGCGAACGCAGCCACTGGGGCCTTCGGTGGAGCTCCCTATGGGGCCACGAAACGTGTGAGGGGTGTGCCGAAATGGGTGGTGGGGAGGCATGCGAACGCAGCCACTGGGGCCTTCGGTGGAGCTCCCTATGGGGCCACGAAGCGTGTGAGGGGTGTGCCGAAATGGGTGGTGGGGAGGCATGCGAACGCAGCCACTGGGGCCTTCGGTGGAGCTCCCTATGGGGCCACGAAACGTGTGAGGGGTGTGCCGAAATGGGTGGTGGGGAGGCATGCGAACGCAGCCACTGGGGCCTTCGGTGGAGCTCCCTATGGGGCCACGAAACGTGTGAGGGGTGTGCCGAAATGGGTGGTGGGGAGGCATGCGAACGCAGCCACTGGGGCCTTCGGTGGAGCTCCCTATGGGGCCACGAAACGTGTGAGGGGTGTGCCGAAATGGGTGGTGGGGAGGCATGCGAACGCAGCCACTGGGGCCTTCGGTGGAGCTGGGGCCACGAAACGTGTGAGGGGTGTGCCGAAATGGGTGGTGGGGAGGCATGCGAACGCAGGAGGGAGGAGGGCGAGGAGAAGGAGGAGGAGGAGGAGGAGGAGGAGGAGGAGGAGGAGGAGGAGGAGGAGGAACGCGGGGACCGTCTCTTCAAAACGAGGACCCAACACCACAGGATGGTTGGGAAAAACTTAATCGTGGTCATCGTAGCAATCAGTAACATCGTCGTCATCGTACACGTGTCGTCCTCGTCGTCGTCGTCATCACCCTCACCATCATCATCGTCATCATCAGCCTCATCATCATCATCATCATCATCATCATCATCATCATCATCAGCATCAGCATCATCATCATCATCATCACCATCAGCATCATCATCATCATCAGCATCATCATCATCATCATAATCATCATCATCCGTCTGCTCTGGCCCTCTCCTCCTCGTCGTCCTCCTCCTTCACCTCTTCCCCGTTCTATCTCTCCCCGTTCTCCTTTCCTCCTCCTCCTCCTCCTCCTCCTCCTCCCCCTCCTCCTCGACGCCTCCGCTTCTTCGAAGATCCCTGCTCCTCCTTCTCCTCATCCTCCTCCTCCCTGTCCTCCCCGCTCTTTCAATCCCCACCTCCTTTTCTTCCTCCACCTCGTTCTCGTCCTTCCTTACGTCTAGTCCTCCTCATCCTCCGCTCCCCTTCCCCCTTCGTCCTCACCATCCCTCCCCCACCATTATCATCATCATCCATCTGATCCAGCCCCCTCCTCGTCGTCGTCGTCGTCCTCATCCTCCATATTTCACCCGTTCTGTATCTCCCCGTTCCCCTCTCCCCCTCTTCCTCCTCCTGCTCCTCGACGCCGCTTCCTCGAAGAAGATCCCTGCTCCTCCTCCTGCTCCGTCTCCCTGTCCTCCCGCTCCCTTCAATCTCCCTCTCCTTCTCTTCCTCCACAACATTCTCGTCCTTCCTCACGTCTAGTCCATCTCATCCTCCGCTCCCATTCCCTCCTCGTCCTCAAAATCCCTCCCCGACACCAAGAAGCCGAGAGCTACAGAATCTGTCAAACATCAACGGGGAACTATTGTTGTTGCGTCTGGAGGCCCTCTTGGTGGTCCTCTTGAGGATCTCTTGTGCCGTCCACGGGGCCCCTTGGGCCATCTTGAGGCTACCTTAGGCCGCTTTGGGGCTCTATTGGGCCGTCTCAAAGCCTCAGGGTTTGCGTTGGCGCCACCCTAGTTCCTGGGCTCATATGAGACCCTCCAAGAAATCCACCCAGGAGGTACTATGGGCATGACGGGGTGTCCGGGAAGTGGGACGGAGTTCGGGGCTGGGACCCGGAATTCATCATCATCATCATCATCATCATCATCATCATCATCATCATCATCATCATCATCATCATCATCATCATCAGCATCAGCATCAGCATCATCATCATTATCATCATCCTCATCATCATCATCATCAGCATCAGCATCATCATCATCATCATCATCAGCATCATCATCATCATCACCACCACCATCATCATCATCATCATCATCAGCAGCAGCATCATCATCATCATCATCATAATCATCATCATCATCATCATCATAATCATCATCAGCATCATCATCATCAGCATCAGCATCAGCATCAGCATCAGCATCAGCATCAGCATCAGCATCAACATCATCATCATCATCATCATCATCACCATCATCATCATCATCATCATCATCATACGGCTGTTTCTTTATTCGATGTTCCCCAAACAATGCTTGCACTTACTGTTCGGGATCCGCTCTGGCAGACATCTTCCTTGGAGGTGGACCCTCGTGGCACTCCGCCACCCCTTGGCCAAAATATGGCTATGTGGATTTGTTAAAACCCCCCGGTGCGATTTTCCATTCCACGGAGACTCGTCGGCGATCCTCCGCACCGACTCCGTGACATTTAACTTCCCCCCCGGCAGGCCGGAGAGTGGGAGGGCACGATTTGTTAACACCCCCCGGTGCCGCTATGTTCCATTCCGCCGAGATTTGGATCAAAAAACTCCCCTGCTCCCCCTCCTGGGGGGACCCTATTTTGTTAATCCCTGTCCCGGCCGCGTGGCCGATGACCACGAATCGATCCTGCAACGGCAAAGCTGGGAAGTGTTGTGCCTCCAGTCCTAAATCATCGTCATCGTCATCTTCATTGTCATCGTCATCGCCATTTTCGTCGCCATCATCGTCATCGTCATCGTCATCGTCATCGTCATCGTCATCGTCATCGTCATCGTCGTCCTCATCATCATCATCATCATCATCATCATCATCATCATCATCATCATCATCATCATCATCATCATCATCATCATCATCATCATCATCATCATCATCATCATCATCATTATCATCATCATCATCGTCATGGTCATCGTCATCACCATCATCAAGAGCATCGTAACCACATGAGAGAGCGTGATCCACCGCCGCTTTACTGTGGAAAATTGCAAACCTTTTCCTCCAGAACCTGGGGGTCGCCCCCCCCCCCTCCGGAAATCCCCCCCCCCTGGGAACCCCCCCTTCCCCCAGGCAAAACCCCCCCCTCCCCTAACCCCTCCCCCCCCCCCCCCTCCCGCTCGAAAACCGGGGGGGTCACTACCGGTTCAACCCCTCCCCACCCCCCCCCCCCCCCCCCCAGATCCGGAAAACGGGGGGGTTCGGTTCGAACCCCTCCCCCCCCCCCCCCATTCCCGCTCGGAAACCGGGGGGGGGGGTCACTACCGGTTCGAACCCCCCCCCCCCCCCCACCCTACTCACCGCCAGCAAACGACTCCCGGTCCCCACCACCGTCCGCATCACATCCCCCACTGGTGTTCCCAGCACCACTGTCCTCACCACCACTGTCCCCACTGGTTCCACCACCGCCCCTACTGTCCCCACCAGTGCCCCCACCACTGTCGCACTGTCCCCGCTGTCCCCAGAACTGTTCCCACCACGGTTCCACTCTCCCCACTGTCTCCACGGCCCCAACCACTGCCCGACTATCCCCACTGTCCCCACTGTCCCACTGACTCCTCCGCTGTCCCACTGAGCTGTCCCACTGTTCCCACCACTGTCCCCACTGTCCCCACCACTGTCCCCACTGTACCTCTGTCCCATTGTCCCACCGCCGTCCTCGCCACCGCCTTCACCACTGTCCCCACCACCATTGTACCCTCCACTGTCCCACTGTTTCCACCTCATTCCCATTGTCCCCACACCACTGTCCCCACCACCACCGTCACCACCACTGTCCACTGTCCCCCCCTGTTCCCACCAT